TTTTTTTTTTTTTTTTTGCCGTTTGTTGTGGCAGAAAATTCTGAAATTTGCTGTGTAGTTGGAAACTTTCTGAAAACTAACAAAGATATTTATTTATTGTCATTACCAATTTTATATGTCTGTCATAATGTCAATTAGCTATGGACACAAAGCAAAACAGTTGTAAATACATTTTGATTTTCTTGTTCAGCATTCTTGATAATGGCTTCAAGTTTTATGGCAACCACGATGACCTTGGCTCTAATCCATGAGCGAGTGCCTGACAAGGATGTTGGCCCCTTGTCAGATGTGTTCCTGGATTCAGTGGCAGAGGCAGCTTGGGCACTCGATGTCTCAGAGATACTCATCATGATAGCCACCACTGCGGCATCCTTCGTTCTTGTCTTCCACAAGCACCGGTAAATACAAATGCTGCTAATACTGATCTGTGCATGTTATTTTATTTGCAAGTTTTCTTGTCTGTCACGTATGTAAAGAAGAATGTATCTTTGTTCTGTTGGTTTCCACACCATTGCACCTATTAAGCCAAATTTGGTGTGACTGTAGAGGACCTCCTGGGCCCCCCGGAAGAATTTTTTTTCCTTATGCTCCAAGAATCATTTGTCATAGCCTATTGAGGTTTCTTGCATTTGATGGAGCTTAGAAAAAGCAAGAGACTTCTCACTCTGTGTATCCATTTCTTATAATTATTGGGATATTTAATTTCATTTTTTCTGGAATAAACAAGGGTTTTTGAAAAATTCACAGAAAGGTGACAATTTACATTGTAATAGGTAGTTAATTTCCTTACAGTTCAGTTACTTTGTAGCCAGGATAGCGTAGTCTGTATAGCAACTAGCTGCGGGCTGGATGACCAGGGGGTTAGAGTTCAAGTCCCTATAAGGTCAAGAATTTTCTCTTCTCCTATTCAGTGGGTACAAGGGTCTCTTTCCCCAGGGGTAAGGCGGCTGGGATGTGAAGCTGACCACTCACCTCCGGCTAGTGCTGATGTCAAGAAAATGTGGATCTATACATCCACTCTCCCATACGCCTTCATTGCATAGTGCTTCATTAAGCACAGGGACACCTTTACCATACCTTTACCCTTCTGTTACTTTATGTGAATATTAAGATCAACATTACAACCTTCATTGTATGACACTTCCTAATTATACATGTGCATTATGCCTAGGCTGTGCCATGTAGATCAGTCATTTATCATACAGGGCTCTGCATCGTGTCCCCAAAACCGACCGCATTACTCGGTACTTGCACAGAAAATTCAAGGACATGCAGGAGAGCATTGGCTGGTAAATGTAGAATATTATTGATTGTAATAGCATGATATAGACTTCTCCCAAAATTTTAGGGATTATATAGCAGTGACCAGCCAGCCTTGATCTGTTCACAATAACTGGGTTGTCAGTGATGCAGTGTATTTCTTGTCTTTGACTGATATATATGAAACTTTTCTGTTTCCCACTTCTAAGCACAGAACACTCAAAGATATCATGAAATTTACCCTGACCTCTTGCCGGTAGGTTTACTGCATGAAATATGAATCCTCATTTAGTCTTTTTTTAATTACATTACTAGCCTCTAGAGTTATATCTTAGCCCATGAGTTCCTGACGTAACAAATTTCCTTACTTGTGATCCCATTACATTAACACCCACTTTACGTATGCCATGTAGCAATGCTCAGGTGCCCTGAATCATAACTTTTAACAATCCAGAGTTAAATATTAATTTATTTTAAATTTTTTAACAATTTAAGTGTTTAATACTATGTATGATATAACTCCGTCCAAAGTGCAAACTATATTTATAAGTCTTTCGTTTTGTTCTTCTTTATACACTACACTATACACTACATGTTTCGGCCCCAAACGGCCATCATCAGGTGTATACACTCACGTATCTGTTACACTGCACTTATTTATAACATTTAAAATTTAAAAACATAGGTCTTCCTGATTGGCACTTATAAAATCTTCGGTTCTAATTTTAAATGCTTTAAAAATTTTGTCTCTAAGTTTTAAAATTTAAAAATGTCAGGGTTACTCGCCTTATGTCTATAGTGCTGCAGCGGCTTCGTCTTGTTTCTAGTACTGTATAGGTGTTATCTGTAATATACAAATATTCGTATTACTAATTATGTACGTAATGTTTTCTTATGTGTTTATACTGTTATTTGTACTTACTCTGTGTAGTCTCCTTGTGTGCATGCCGCTGCTATCTTTACTACGTATGCTGTCTGATGTATTGTGTGCTGTGTTTTATGTTGATGAGTGTAGGAGGGGATTGGGTATTGGGGAGAGGGAGGTACCGTTAATCTGTGTAGATTTCGTGTATAATATGTGATTGTGTGTTTCTATGTATGTGTCATTCATGTGTAGACCTTCTTTACATATTTTATATGTATGGTATTTCTCTATTGTATTCAAATGTCTGCCCTTCTTTCCCATTGTTACAACTTCCATTACCTCTGTTATTGTTCCGTGTGCATGTCCTGTATTTAGTATGTGATCTGAGTACCCGGAATTGCTATTATTATTTCTAATATCATGTATATGTTCTTTATATCTGGCATTAAATGTTCTGCACGTTTGTCCAGTGTATTTCAGTGGGCAATCTACACATTTCATTTGATATATGCCACTTTTATTGTATTTATCTAATTGTGATTTTTGTTTGAGTATATTTTCTATTGTGTTTTGTGTGCGGGATGCTACTTTTATCTGTGTGTCTTTGAAAAGTTTTGTAATTTCTCTCACTTCTTTTGTACTGTATGAAAATGTGGCCCACTTTGTTTTTTGTTCGTCGTCATATGTGTTTGATTTTTGTTTTCGTTTTGTCTGATTTGATCTTTTGATTATGTTTGTGGTGTATCCATTGTCATGTAGTATGTTTTTAATAGTGTTCTTCTCTATTTGTTTTCCTTTTTCTGTTATTGGTTATGTGTAGAGTGTATTTATTAGGTAATTAATACCTGATAATTTGTGCTCAAATGGATGGCACGAACTGTTAGGTATTATGATGTCTGTCTGTGTGGGTTTCCTATACGAGTATATTGAGAATTGCAAGCTATCTTCCTTACGATGTATTGTTATATCTAGGAAGTTAATTGATTCTTGTTGTTCTCTTTCAGGGGTGAATTTTATAGTTGGTTGCAATTCATTAATTCCCTTGAGTGTATGTTCTATGTTCGTTATTTTTTCATGATATATTATTAATATGTCATCAACATAGCTGAAGTAGGCTACTATTTGTTGTTTTACTAGAATGGGATATATTTGTGTGTGTTCCATACATTGTATATATGTTTCTGCTATTATAGCTGATACTGCAGCTCCCATAGCTAGTCCATCTGTTTGTTTGTAGTACTCTTCGTCAATTTGGAAATAATTTTGTTCTAATACTGTTTTTAACATATGTATTATTTCTTTGTGGCTTTCTTTATTTATTTCATGGTTTTTCCGAATATAGTGTTTATTATATTTATGGTGTTTGTTTTCGGTATATTTGTATACATTTTTTCAATGTCAAAGGAACATAGTCGCATGTTCTCATTAAGTTTAATAGCTTGTAAATCTGTCATTAATTGGGAGGAGTTTTTGACATTGTATGTGGTTGTTCTAGATAATCATGCAATACTTTCGCCAATTACCTTGTCATTTCGTAAGCTGGGGCGTTCTTCAAGTTTATTGTTGGTCTAATGGGTGTGTTAGGTTTATGTAGTTTTATTGTGGCATGTAGGTTTGGGGCCGTGGGATTCATGTTTGAAAATTCCCATTTATCTTGTATGATATTCTTACACTGTTTCAGTGCTTGTTTTACTGCCCTTTGGTATTGTTGGGTCAGATTTTTGTCACTTTTTATAAATTGGTTATTGTGTATGAATTTATTTATTTTCTGTTTGTATTCTTCTTGTGTTAGTATTACCAATGTTTTTCCTTTATCTGCTTTCGTTATAATAAGTTTATTCTCTTCAATTTTATTTTTTATGTTCATTATTTGTTTGTATTCCCTTTTATCTTTCTTATCTTTATTGGTTTTATTCCTTTCATTGTAATTCTTGTGTATATCTTTTAGTTTCTTTGCGATTAGATGTCTATAATAACTTTGTTCCGTTATTTCTAGATTGTTTACTGTTGTTTCAGCTTCTAGGGCTAATGTCTCAATCCATTTTTCATTCTGGTAATGTAGATTATATTTAAGGCCTTTACTTAGTATTTGGGTTTCTTCGGGTGTAAATTGTATATTTGTTTGATTCACTACTCTCGTGTATTGTATGTTTTTGCTTGTTATGTCTATATTTTGTGTTTTCTTCATGTTGTTTATTTTTTGTTGTTTTAGATATGTTGTTTCCATATCTTTTTGTAACTTTTCTTCTCTTGATTGTTCGATGTTGTTCCATGTTTGTTGCCATGTGTTTGCATTGTGTATGTGAATGTGATAGAGTTGTGTATTTAATTGTTGTTTCTTTTTGTATAGAAATTTTATTTCATTTTTTATGCATAATGTTTGGGCTTGTATTTGTGTTTTCATAGCCGCTTCGTTGTTTGTTGTTATTTTCAGGTACACGTACTTTGATACTAGCTTTTCTTTCATACAAAAAGCATTTATAAATATATGAATTGTAAACGGAAACTGTTACACTGCAACGCTAACATAAAATTTAACAAAACATGTCTGAAGGCTACATCTTCCAGTTTTTTGTTGTTTCAATTGTTACAGGTTCATCGTAATGCGACGGGTGTTTTTGATCCTGGCAGCCTTGTACCTGATGCGCTCTGTTACAATGTTTGTGACTGTTCTGCCAGTCTCCAGTCACAACTACTACTGCTCACCAAAGATGAACACCACCAGCGGTATTGTGGTACTAAAGCGAGCCTGGCAGTTGATGACTGGTTTTGGTCTCTCCATCAACGGGAAGCATACGTACTGTGGAGACTACATATACAGTGGCCACACTGTGATTCTAGTCTTGAGTTACCTAATCATAGGGGAATGTGAGTGATCTTTGTTTACATCCTTCGATCCTAGGTTTTTTAACCATACTGCTTCAGCTTCATATATTTTAAAGCGTCAAATGAAATCCTGTTGTGTGTTGTACAAATAGCTTAAACTGAATCATCTACACAACAGTAATCTCTACAAACTGAAGATAAAATAGATATTAACGTATCAACGTTTGTTATGCACAGGTGTTGTATTACATGTTTTGACCTTTCCTAGGTCATCATCAGGCGAGTCACATGAATATCAATCTAAGTTCATCAATTGAGTTACTTTAATATGGATTCGTATTTTTATAGTTCATTTTTATTATAGTAGCGAATACACTTGTACGCAGTAAACAAATGTCGATACCTTAATGTCTATTTTATCTTAATTTTGTAGAGATTATTGCAGTGTAGATGGACGCATTTGGGGAGCCGGGATAACGCAGTCAGTATAGCAACTGCTTACAGACTGGACAACCAAGGGGTTAGAGTTTGAGTCCTGGTAGAGTCAAGAATTTTATCTTCTCCACGTTGGGGTTCTTTCCCCCGGGGGTAAAGAGGCTGGGGTATAAAGTTTACCACTCACCTCCAACTAGTGCTGAGGTCAAGAAAATGTGGATCTGTGCATCCATTTCCCCATACGCTTTATGGCATAGTGCTTAATTACGTAAGCACAGGGACAGCTTTACCTTTAGATTGCCCGATTTACACTATGAAATGAAATGGAAAGGTGATCATGAATGGTGACTGAGGATTCTGAAAGAGATAATGGCGGACGTTTTCAGAAGTACCGTCTTACTTTCCGTATGGATAGAATATTCCTTTAGAAGCTGACAGTCATTGGGTAGTGTTTTATGGAACTGAAACGTTCATAGCCATGTTCACAAGAGCCCACCACCGTGCCAAATCCAGCCAACAGCCTTATGTCCTATAAGGTCCTTGTCAGCATTATCCTTCCATCCACACCTATAGCTCTTTGTGTAAGCCATATTTAGAATTTCACTGCCTTTGAAACTGTTCTTTTCAAATTTGAAATACTGTATTAGATCTGAGGATCTCCTACCAGTGAACATCTACATGGTGGTCTTCTTGGATGTGATGCTGTGTAATATGGTAGATAAGTACCAACATTTTAAAGGAATAGTTTTCCTACCCTGAAGATGGAGGCAGCGGATTCCTTTGAGATATTAGTGCTTATCCATTAAACCGCTGGATGTCACATCCCAGAAAACAGTACTCTTCATGGTTGGCCATTGTGAAAAACTCAAATCTCATACAGTCTGTTGATAATTACTGGTGTTTCATACCATCTTCAGGGTAATGAAGATTCGCATCTCACATCCCTTAACTCGTTAATCTTCATAGTCACAGCCACAATAACCTCAGATCTCACAAGTGTTAGGAAGGAGTGTTCTGTAAAAGCTTTGTTTGTCTTAACAGATTCTCCACGGAGGTGTTTCCCTGTCCATTGGTTATCCTGGTGTTTATCTCTGACTGGAATTGTTATGGTGCTCTGGTCACATGGACACTACACAGTGGACGTCATCATTGCATACTATGTCACCACCACTCTGTTCTGGATATATCACACTCTTGCCAATAATGCAAATCTCAAGGTAATTATTGCAGTCCTGGTACTGGAGGGAGGCCTTTGAGTTTCGACTTCACAGGAAACTATCAGGTCCGATCTCGAAAACTTGTCTCACAGGAGGGGTGTATTTGATTCAGATTGTTAATAGCTGTTGAGCCTATGGGTGTGGGGCATTGAATGTAGTGATACTAGGTAGCATGAAAACATCAGTTATTATATGAGGTGCTATCAAAAGGTTCCTGGACAAGGTCAAAAAGGAAATACTGGCTTAACTTACTCAATTTTGGCTGCCATCTCCTTCAAATTAGTCTCCTTGGGAATGTATACAGTGACCTCATCATTTTTTCCACACTTCAGAAGCACCGTGGAAGTCATTTTCCTTACTGCTGTCAACTTCCACAGATACTGGATGTCGGATCCCGTTTCAAAACATAGTCCCTTAAGTTTCATTTTTAATTTAGGAAACAGAGCGAAATCACAGGGGGCTAAGTCCGGCGAGTAGGGAGGATGGGGAACAGTAACCATGTTGTTATATTTTAGCGTCCTGTTGCACTGATTTAAGTCCATGATTTATTTTATCCGTCTTCTAGTGCATACATTTATTTATCCCCTCTTTTCACTCTCACTACATGTTTCGGCACCAATGTGCCATCTTCAGGTGCTGATCCAATCCACGACAAACTAATTCATTGCATGCCTTGTCNCAGTATAACACACGCAGTCACAGGAGCGAGACGCAACACAGAGCACAATACACGATAGTGAAAGAGAGAGTGCTCCAACAGAGGATGATAGACGTGACTCGCGTAATGAAACACGACGTAGGAAAGAAATATGCTGTACAGTTTTAGTATTTTAACACTTGACATTTGTCAGTATATATGATAAATATATATTTTAGTTATTTTAGTATGTAAAGACAAGGCATGCAATGAATTAGTTTGTCGTGGATTGGATCAGCACCTGAAGATGGCACATTGGTGCCGAAACATGTAGTGAGAGTGAAAAGAGGGGATAAATAAATGTATGCACTAGAAGACGGATAAAATAAATCATGGAGTAACCATGTTGTTGTTAGTTACAAAGCCTATGGTTTTCAGGGACGTGCAGCTGGGTGCATTGTCATGAAGAAGGAGCCAGTTCTGGTTGTGCCAAAGTTTTTGTCTTTTTTGTTGCACATTTTCCCTCAAAATGTCACAATAAATTCAGAATTGACCATAGTGTTGGGAGGAACAAAATGACGGTGAACAATCCCCTTCATGTCAAAAAACAATGAGTATTCGCTTTGTTGAATTTCGGACCTGCTGCACCTCCTTTGCTCTTGGTGGTAGGCTCCTTCGCTGGGACAACTGTTGCTTTGTTTCTGAATCATAACCACAAATCCAACTTTTATCACCCGTTATGATCCTAGAGATAAAATTTGGGTTCTTATAGCTCACGCGCATGTTTACGTGCCGCTGCTTTTACTGTTTGTCAAGAGTCAGGGAACAAACTTCGCAGCAGTGCAGCGCATGTTCAGATATTCTGTTAAGATCTTCTGGCAAACACCATAACTGATCCCAGCAGTGTCTGCAAGCTCATGGATTGTTTGGCGATGGTCTTCAGGGACGAGATCTCGAATTTTTTCAACATTTTCTCTCATTCTGTTTGTACTTTGTTGCCCTGAATGTTCGTCATCTTCAACTGACACTTGACCAGCCTTGAAACATGAATGACATTCAAAAACCGCTGTCCAGCTTAAAGAATGTTCTCCAAACGCCTTACAAAGCATTTCAGGGGTTTCAGTAGCGGATTTACTGAGCTCCACTCAAAACTTAATGCAGATATGTTGCTCGAATTTGCCATCCATTGCAGAAAAAACGAAACACGAAGTCGATAAAGCATTCATGCAAAAACAGTGCATGTTCACAGCATGGTGTGACATGGCAGACTGATGGGATGGGCTTGCAGAAGTGTGACCTTGGCCTCCCCTCTCATCTTTGTTCACCAAGATAGTTACAACAATAACAGTCCGGGAACCTTCCGATAGCACTTTGTGTGTCACCTTTGTTCACCATTTCCTATCATTTGTCCGAACACTATTAGGTCATGAGATATGTGTAGAAAGTTCACTTAATATTTCTAGCCTATATGTGGATGAGCAGCGTTTATTGTAGTTTGTTTCCTTACAGCAAAATGGTCCAAACAACTTCCTTTCACGGATGTGGTGGTTCCCATTATTTTGGTACTTTGAGAAGAATGTTGGAGGTCCAGTGCCACGCCAGTATGAGTGGCCTCTGCCATGGCCTCGGCGATGCCATGGAAAACATCCTAACCGGAACAGTTAGTGAGAACAGAATCTCTGTGCTTGCAGTTGTGACTTTTATTTTTCCCTTTCAGCAGTGTGTTTAAATGCAGAAATGTGTTAACATATGAAATGAAGCATTGTGAAGTGTACCAAGCAATGAGGCTGTGCTGAGGATGTCAGGGTTGATTACAGCTAACATTGATTGTGGGAACTCTTCTCACTCTTCAGTATTTTCTGTCAAGAAACAAAGGTTGAATATACATGTTATGTTGGTGGCTGCAGAAACCTTAACTGTCATGGCTAAGGTTAATAAGTTGTTAAGCATATCTCATTCCTGATGGCAGGCAGCCAGCAATATGATAATGCCAGAACATGATAAGTAAGGGGTAACGTACAAACTGTCAGGGTATATTGTGTCTCACTATACTATAAAAGACACGTTGAGAAGGAGACACAAACATTTGTTTCGTTGCTTTATGCATGGGCATCTCCACAGTGGCATGAATGATGAAGCATTTAGCAACATAACTCCTTATATCATGCTTTGTGTCAAACTGCTGTCCTTAGTGGTATTTGTGTACAAACTTTGTTAGAAGTGTTGAAGGGAATTGTGTCATTACCTGTGTCGTGGTGTCAGGGTTGTCGGAATATTAAAGGTTGGGGATGATAATATATTCTGTTTGAATTCCAGCACTGTGCACATTTGTAGTGCTTGTATTTAAAATGAGACTTAATTTTTTCTTTTATTTATTTCTGTGGTATAGATAAGGAATTAATGGTTAATGGATAGGAAGGAGGGGGAGAGAGGTATTTCAAGAATAACATAAAATATTTATCCAAAATTATTTCACATAAATTATCTTTGACATCTTTGTCGTGGTTGTATTAGCTTCAGATCTGTCACCTGGAATTTGGAAGATAACAAAATCTCTGATCCTGTGGTACTGACAAATTCTGACTCCTGAATAATGGTATTAATGTTGAAGAAATGCAATTCTAGGCCTCCTGAAATGTGCATGTCTGTGTCACAATAATGTGTCATTGTGATGATAAGGGTTAACTGTTGTAAGTTACTAGGTTTTCAAACTTTGTCCATTCTCCAGTACCAGATGATGGACAAAGTTCAGAACCCAATAATTCTGAGCATTATATGCCATCATCAGAACCCTTTAGTATCTAACTGTTGTAAAATTTGTCATGTACATTCCAGTGTATGTTGCGCGACTTATTAACATGGAAGTAAGTATTCAAGTAGTACACAATAGATCATAGACGGTTACAGCACACATTATGTCAGCCCCTTTAAGGCAGCGTCTGCATAAGCGCACAAAATGCGTCCGTTGTAACAAACGTCGTGACGTCCATTGTAGAAATAAACGAGAGGCATGCTAAGCTTTCTTCTGGCTCCATTGCAGACAAAAAATTACGCACCCAATTCGGCAACTGTGTGGTGTCCTCAGCACCGTCATAAAGTACCGTTCGTTGCAACAGACTAATTCTTGTGCTCGTGTAGAAGCTGCCTAATCTGAATACCCATATACAGGGCAGGTATACAAATTGTGACACAGTACTACATTATACAGAAAAATTTAAATTTAAAAATATATGCTATTTACATTTCATGTAACGTCTTTACAGATGATTTGCTTTGTTACCTCGTAAATATGTTGGTGTTTATGATTATGTTTTTGAGAACATCTGAAGCATAATTGAATGTTCTGAATGGTATGGTGCATGTGCTTTTGATTGCAAACACGCAGTTGAGTTTAGTATTTTGTATTTCTGCTCTGGGCTCACCCCTAAGTTCAAATGCCAATGAACAAATCTGTGATGTGTGAAGTGGTGAGGGAGACATTATGGTAACAGCCAGCCAAAGTGTCCCCTCTCCTGGATTCTCCTCCCAGCCTCAGAGTTGAACAGGGTTCCTAAACATGCTCAGGTCTTAACATTAGCTCTGCATGAATGGAAGATGCCAGCAAATGGGTGAGAGAATGAAGAGCAAAGTAAGGCAATGATGCATGATAAAAATAAATTTGGATATGTCCAAGTTTTCACATCGAAAAACAATATATATGGGTAATTAATCTTGAAGTCGTTATAATATGAAATAAAGGCCGCACCATAGCTTAAGCGGTTAGTCGCTGGCTTACCACCGCGGCAGCTCGGGTTCAATCCCGGGTCTGGTCAAGTGGGATTTGTGGTGGACAAAGTGGCACTGGGGTGGGTTTTCCCCAAGTACTTCAGTTTCCCCTGCCAATCTTAATTCCACCAAATTCTCCAGCATCATAATCTCCCAGGGCAGGCTACAATAGGCCAATCAGTGGCCACCATGCCGAGTGGACCCATTTGGACTCCACCCTCCACTAAGAAAATTAAAAAAAAATATATAGGAAATAAAATTTTTAAGGAAAAACCAAAGGATAATGATTAATTTATGAGAGAGAAAAAATGGAATCTTTGTGATATTTGTGATGTATACACATAACAGTATTGTGCTGTGTGTATATATATTTTGTGACTCTGTATTATGTGCATGGGATTTGAGGTCCTTGTGTTACTTGTTATCCTAGATGTTGTATTTGTTGCCTTATGAAACTCAGAATGAATGGATGGACATCATCTTTAAAGTGTACTCCTGTAATGCAAGGAGCAGGAAATGATCCAAAATATTCAAGTTGTAATTTTAACATGTTGGAGAATTAAATGAAAAGTTAACCAATTTACATATCTTTTGAATTGTTTTATTAAAATTATTATTTATTGCTACTATATTATTGTAGGATTATATGACATCCATGTTATTTATTGCATTACTGCAGCAGTTCTTGACGTGTGATACGTATACTTGGTGGATCTTTAAAGTTTGATACTATGATTACATTCTAAGTTTTCATTTGAGCAGATATTTAGAGCTTTAAAATGGTAATGAGGGGGTATATATATGTGTGATAGTTCTTTCTTAGGAGAGAAAAATTTTAAACAGAATAATTGTGAAAATTGTAATTCCCAGAATTTTATGGAACACGAAGATCCATTAGTGTTCATAAGTGTCTGCCATTAGCCCTTATCCTGAACCAAATTAATGCAGTCCATACCCTCTGATACTATTTCTTTAAACTCCATTTCAATATTATACTCCTGTCTATACAGACATAATCCAGATGGTCTTATCTTATGATTTTTAGCATAATAGCCATAAGTAATATTTTGTCTGTTGTGCTGTGTATTGCTCAGCATCATGTCCTATTTCTTTTAAGATCTGATTTTTTATTATCCTGACAGTTTTAATTAGGCTCCCATGACACACATTGCCTTCAGTGTACATGACCAACATTGTGTATGCATTCCTCATCTTTTCCATGTGTGCTACATGCTTCTTGATTTGATCATTCTGATATTTGGCAAGGAGTAGTATTTGTGGTTGTGTATGATCTATGATTGATATACTTTTTAAAAGTGAATAATTGTTTCCAATATGTATAATGGTTATGATCTTCTGGGAATAGGAATCTGTTCCTCTGAAATGTTGGGACCATTCTCCCACACTACACAGTGTCACATTCTAGAAGATATTCAATGGTAAGAGAATGTCAAGTATCATCAAATTTGGGGGGGGAAATGCTGTTTTGTTGTGTTCCGGGTCAGTGCTGCTTGAATTTTGTTCAAGGTACATGTCAAGAACTACTTACGTATAGGTGGAAGACAGAAGTTAAAATTGGTCTTGAAGCAGTAGGATATAAGGATGTGGACCAGTGGTGGCCTCTTTTGATCACAGCTGAGAACCTTTGGGTTCTGTAAAATGCATGTATTTCTCTACTAGCTGAACAACTATTAGCTTCTAAAGAATCATTATTCATTGCTCATGTCTGGTAGGATGGATGCTTTTGTTTTATTTACTAAAATGTTTGTTTAATCCTACCTAAATATCGGTTTGTCATCAGTTTATTGTGTAAATGAAATTGATACCATATATTTTCTTGACGTGCCATCAGATATCATTGTGTACATAATGGCTGACATTCTCTAAGTTTCATTACATGTGTGCTTTCTTTAGCAAAGGTGGTGTATGCATATAGGAAAGTTTGAGAACTGCTGTATTGTGATGCACGTTACAAGAAATGAACGTTAGGATTGTCTTAACACATTGGTGACAATGTTAGGGCAGCTTTCACATATTAATCATGAAAAATCACATGGTTTTATTCAAAAGACAGGGGATACATAAAAGAAAAATTATACCTTACATGTCTACAAACACACTACTCGGTGGAAAACTACTAATCAATTCTTAAAAACACCAAAATATGATGAAAGAATCTAACAGAAAATTGTATGCATAAATGTGTAAATTAACATAGCCTGTCATCTACAGTTGGGCATGAAAGTAAATTAAACAGCATGTAAGCCCATTGCCTATGTTAACGTAGGTTCAGTGCTGTAGCTTTGTTATGACATCTGGTACGATATTCTTTTAGTTGACTTCCATTCTGCAGCAATCTTCTATGACCATTATCATATTTAGAGAGAGAAACAAGAGATATACATGAAATACGTCTGTTCATATAACTGTCAAAAGACATACAGGTATCCTTTGACTTATTTGTGTTTGATAATTGTGATATGGGGAGCTGTAAGCACATCTTGAAATTTTAAAATTTTTGTTATTCATTTGGCTTTTTGCTTTAATTTTCATTGAGAAATATTGCTACATATATAGTGACTAGATGTGGGGTTTGGATTGGCGATTGGATTTATTGGAATCTTGTAAATTATACAAAGGTTATCCAGAAGTAAATTCTTATGGGCAATTGAAAAAAAAAACGAATTTATTTCTAAGCCATTTATATCACCACTTGATGTACATACCGTACACTACTTTTTGGCATAGTTTCCACCATTGTTGAGGCACTTGTATTGAGGCACCAGTTTTTCTATCCCTACTTTGTATAATGATGCTGCCTGTGTTGCAAATCATGTGTTAATGGCTTCTTTGACCTCATTGTCATGAAACTACTAGCTACCAAGGAAAGTTTTCAGATGCAGGAAAGGATGAAAGTCACTTGGCACTAAGTCTCGGCTGTAGGGGGGCACCTCCATTGATTATTGAGCCTTGAGGCAAGAATTCTACAAGCAGAACACGTTTTCTATACCAAAACACTGTGCACATGATCTTGCAAGTTGAAGTGATCTGTTTGAATTTTTCCTTTATTGGCGATGATGTTTGCCTCCACTCCATGGACTGCTGCTTTGATTCTGGGGTTACGTGCAACACCCATGTCTCATCCCCTGTGACTGTGCACCTCAAGAAGTCATCGCCTTGCTCACTGCATTGTGTCAGAAAGGTCAGCGCACTAGCCTGCCATTTCATTTGTGTTCTTCCATCAGCATCATCGACACCCAGTGTGAACACAATTTCAAAAAACGAAGTTTTATCAGGCACAACTTTATGAAGAAATGACCATGAAATTTGTGGAAAATGCAAGGAAAGTGACGCAGTGGTGAATTGTTGTGCTCTTGAATCTTCTCTTCCACTGCATGCACCAAATCTTCATTAACCACGGATGATCAGCCTCTGTGGATCATCATACACATTTTTGCATCGTTCATTAAAGTGTCTCACCCATCTCCATACCATTGAATCACTTGTGGCATGTTCTCCATACACCTCACAGAGTTGACAATGAATGTCGGCTGGTTTCATGTTTCTTGCATTCAAGAAACAGATTACAGACCCATTTCACTTGCAGTGGACTTCTCAATTTTCTTGAACATTGTAAACACAGAGGACAATACGTAAACGCAGTTTGATTGTCTCCAAATGGTGTCTGTGCCTTCCCAAAGGATCCAGAAACTACAAGCATGTGCACCAACGTGACTACAGCGCTGCAGTGGCAATATATGCAAACAGAACCTCATTTGTGGATACAGCTTGTAACTACAGGTATATATTTTGACCTCGCTAATTTACACACTTTAAAATTTACTCACGCACTATGTCTTCTCAGTCTTTCTTTACTAGTTGTTGCCTGGTAACAGATCCCACAGTCATATGAGTTCCTTGGCTTCTGTGTTCAACAGATCCTGTCCTTGTTGTCCAGCAAATATCTCACCTCTAACTCATGGCCAAAATTTCTGGCCATTGACTCCTAACCACATCTGGCAGTTAGTCACAATCACTAGCTAGCACCCACTTCCAACTCAGCTCATCACCAAAGTCAAAGTTAATTTATAACTGGTGGTTTATTGCCAATCAGTTCATCTTGGCATAAAACCCCTTGAGGCTCATGACCAAAGACTTTTTTTTTTAACTAAACCCCCTTGCAATCATATTCGTTATATAACATCCTCTCCGACAAGAGGATGGGTCTGTCTTTTATGAAAATGCTTGGCCTTTTGTCAAATGTACCTATGGCAAATGTAGCGTGTTATAGAAAATTCTTGCTTTTGCATTATATAAAAGTCCTTTGCCAGTCCAGGCTTTGCAAAGCAGATCTTGCATATCTTATGCTACAATGGCAGCTGAGTCACGTGAACAGTCATAAGATTGACCACCACCGAGTTTAAGCCTCTTATATTTTTCTGCACACCATTGAGCTCAGTTCCCTGGTATAGCCTTGGCATGGACCCAACAGAAGACACTGCCTCAAACAGTTCCTCTGTTTTTGTTATGGGCAGCCTTCTCCCATGTATTGTTTATGTGTTTACTGTCCGTTGCCTTGGTGACACATCATGTACTGACCAGTACCAGGAAACTCATGTTCCTTTTAACTATGTACTTCAGGTGTTCAGCGTGTATGTCACAATACAGAGTGTCCCAGGAGGAAAGGTCAATATTCTAGAAGGTCGTAGTAACAGTCATTCTAAGTGGCCTCCGTAGTCTAGGGGTAACGTTCCCACCTCATGACTCAAGGTATGCGGGTTCAAACCCGGCAGAGGTCGTGGAATTTTTAAGGGCGGAAAAATTCAGGGAACAAGTCCTGCGGGAGGGACTTAAAGCCGTGGGTCCCATGTCGTAGATTTACGGCGCATAAAAGATCCTCGTGTCTCTAGGAGACCTCTGAGCAAAATTAGGCAAAATGTTTCTCGCCCAAGTAGTTTCCAATGCCTCCAGTAGATGGGGAAGTTATCGGGTACCAGTGCCAGTAGAGGGCCGACCTAGCTGGCAGAAAGGG